GGTCGAGGTCGAGCGGCGGAGGAGGTACATTGCCCTCACTATCGATACCGGGGATGGTGCCATTCGGGCTCAGCGGCTGGAGAAGGCTAGTCAAGTTCTGGACAGAACGATCCTGCTCAGCTTGCATCTTGACTAGGTTGTCGATTTCTTGTCGTGTGCTGGCTAGCCTGCCCGAGTAGTTGTGCGGCATAAGGGGTGGATTCGGCGAGATAAGCGCGTTGTTGGGCGATACGCCAGCGTTGGGTTCTGATGAATTTGTTTCGTTGGCCATGAGTCGAAGCATATCGGCGCGTTGATTTGCCGTGAGGGGAACATTACCACCGTGGTTTTCGAGGGAGGAGAGCACATTGGGGAACTCGGAGAAGTTTGTTGAGAGCCCGTTGCGTGCATTGGAATTTTGGATTACAGACATAATGTCCCGTTGAGGAGGATTCTGGTCTGTCGGCTGTCCCGGAGAAACGTTTGCAGTACGTGGGCTGTGGTCAAACACCTCCTCCACATGGCCGTGCTGGTTGGCGCTGGGTTGCCGAGCATGACCACGAGACCGCGTGTCATAGGAGCCACTGCCTGACGGTGAAATTGTTGAGGGTCGATTATTATACGCGTGCGCTGCGGGCGGAGCCTTCAAAAGTAGCGGCGGCTTCTTCATTGTTCTCTGGGCACTCGGGCTAGCCATTGATCCTAGAGCATTGTTAAGGTAGTCATCATCAACATCCACGATGTTTCCTTGGTCCTGCGAAATGGCTCCCGCAAAAGAATTCGCGAGATTTTGTGGCCCGCCCTCCCCCTGCAAACTGCGGTTATACACGGTTGCAAGGAATGTTAAAATGGCATTGATGGAGTTCTCATGGCGAGTGTGTTGCTCTTGGAAGTTGGCTGCCTGCGCATAGAGTTGCTCGTGTTCTTTCCGCAGCCTGGTGATTGTAGTTGAGATGATTGACTGCTGTTGACGAATCGCCTGAAGTTCGCGATATACTCCAGAAAGTTGATCATTGGGTACTGAGCTGTCTGTGGCTAATGACAATTGCTGTGGTCGGGGAGCACGGGTATCGCGAGGGGCCGGTGCACCCTCTTCGACATAATCGTCCATCTCGTTATCTTCAATATCCTCCGTTTTCACGCGCGTGCCGCCCTTGCTAGGTTTGCTCGCATGTCCGCCACCCCCAGCGTTCTTTGGCTTCTGGATGAGCCATAGCAAATCAGGGTGGCCTCGTTTGAAATAGGGGTTGGCGTATTCGCTGGGACTCTTGTTTTTCCGCTCGCTGGCGCGCATTGAATTATCGGAAAGTCCGACCTTCTTGTGAAAGCCGTACATGTTCAGCTGTCGGACGAATGAGGCGTAGTTATTGTGTTTGAAGAGCTCGGGAATCAATGTTCTCGCAAATTCATCTTCGTCTAGGACGACGAAGGAATTGCCATCATCAGACCATCGAATCAGTTCCGTATTCTTAGATTCATCTAGGAAACTGCGATCATTCGTTAGCCCTATAATTGATCACAAGCGATAGGTCGGATCATACCTGCTCAATTTTTGTACAAATGGCGGGATTTGCTTTCGTTTTGCCTGTGAATCTCTCTTCGCAGTCAAGGCTCGCCGATAGAGCTCCTCTAGAGACTCCCCCCATGCGCCACTCTCCCCATTTCCATTGTTGCCTCCATTTTCCACATATGAAGCAGGAGGTTGCTCGTAGCCACGGTTTCGGCTGACCACCTGATTCGCTTGTCGGCGGGCGAGTTGATTGGATGCTGTCGCAGCAGGTGCAGAGACATCCTGCGGTGGGGAAAAGGCCACGGGGTTGTAGGCGGGATCAGAGAAGGCGGAGGTATTGATGGCATTGACGGGGGGTTCTGGCCCCATTGTAAGAATTGATCGTTCGAGAGCTGAGACCCGGGGTTCGCAGTGGTCGGAAAGTTCGGTACAGGGTTCATCTGAGGATGGACGGGCGGTACTGTTCCCGGTGCTGGTCTCTTGCGGGTCATTCCTTGCGAGCTCATAGTGAAGAAGCTGGCGTAATGACTCTTATCGCGGTGGGGTTCGATATAGAATTGTATCTCGATTTTCTTTAGTCTCTGAATAGGAGACTGAGTTGGCCGCAGGAAATTTGCCTAGGAGACAAAGGAACCGGAAGCGAACTCAGTATGCAGGAAGTTTTTCATCCAAGTCGGTTCTAATTTGAGTCGACGGCTTTGACCACAGAAGCGAGAGGTGTAAAAAGTGGATAACACTGAGCAGAGCGCGAAATTTGTGGTATCGACACTGAAGTAAACGAAGGGTCACAGGAATCGACAGCAGGCGGCAAATCAAGGACCAGCAGTGATCAATACTAGGCAGATGATGCTCAATGGGCGCGTGAATTGTCCAACATCCAGAATAAGGCGGGAGGCTGCAGCAGAAAGCGCCCACTGGGCGGTGAATGAGTTGATATGGCAAGTATTAAGCTCTAGGGGCACAAGGTAGGAAGACCAAGAGAAAATCAAACGAATGCAACTATATTGTCAACAAGATGAATATGAACCCTCATGCCACTCGGCGGCAAATCCAAGTTGCCCCGGTCCGGCCACGGATGGCGTTGACTGAGTCAGCAAGATAAGTGGTGACGAGTACTTACAAGTACCTCATTTTGCCATGTGATCGCGCGTTGTCTGTCAGGTATCAGTACAGATGAACTGGTCGCTATCTTAGGATCGTGAGCCTAGAGTTCACAATTGCAATGTCAATATGTCATTTCATACTTATGTCTTCTCAATTATTTGATTTTTGCAGTAAGCACTACCATTGAGCACTAACTGTTCCCCGCAGAAGCCTTGACACGGCTTGCTCAACTTTTTATATGCAACTAGATTCCCCTATCAAACCCCGGAATTCCGTCAAAATCTGTTGCCATAACTCAGGCTGCTTCTGTGTGAAATCCTCGACCTGTTTAGGAGCAGACAAGTCTTCCTTCATGCGCGACTCATTCTTGGTCCCATTCAGCACCGCCACATCCTTCAAGCCCATAACCAGAGTATAAAAAGCAGCAGCCGGAGTTATCTTAACATGGCGAGCAAGTTGCTGCACTGGCTCAGAGCGAACGAGGTCCGGATTCGCTGTCAAAGTCCAAAAACTTTGGTAGATGACCTGATTCTCGCGGCAGAACGCGCGCAGGGGGACATCAAACAGAGTATCCTCGTAGAATCTGTTCTGTACCACTGATGGCTTCACAGTTGTCTGCGACGACGTACACAATTCTTGGAGTATAGGCAATGTACAATTGGAGATACCTAAATTCCGGATGCGGTGGGGAACATAGGTCTCAAGGGCGTGCCAGGCCTCCAGGGTCTGGGCTAAAGTTGACAGTGGCGAATGAATAATCACGGTGTCAATGTAGGCCTCATCCACGGAGTCGGGGTCAACATTTGAGCGAAGATTATGCAATGAAGATTTGATAGATGCATGGACCTGATCAGTCACCGTCGCTGATGGATCATACGGCATATTGGCCAGGTCCTGTGCCGAGACAGGACTATATTTAGTTTGCACCTTATTATGGTTAGCTATCAATCCCCAAATACATCTAAATTAAAAATAGCAGCTGCCCACTCACGTATAAGTCTGCTCGGCCGACGATCCCATCAGCAATTGCTCTGCGGATGCCATCACCCACGAGATTCTCTTGGTAATGGCGGGGTTGGGCCGCTGTGTCCACAGCCCGAAAACCGGCTTTAATTGCACCGTATACCAGATCAGCACTGCGATCTTTCTTCCAGGCTGTGCCGTAGATGAAAACTGGGATGGTGGTGGAGATAGTGCCCCGAGTTGGACGCAAGCAGTATTTTTCCCACATCTTGCCGACTGCGCGAGTCATCTGTGTTGATAGGTGAATTGAGAAGGGGTACTTAATTGGGTAGCTTTGATTGAATTAGAAATGAGAGCAGAAGTACGTTTAACTTGGAAATGATGTTATGATTGCGGGGGTCCACCTCAACGCTTTCTTACTAACAATATGGAACCCTAAAGGCATTCAAGTTTGCTTGCTTGCTCGCTTACTAGTTTGCATTCACATAACTAGTTAAGTAGATTGTTTGTTAGATAGCTAAGCGAGACGTTCGAAGTTTGCTCAGCTATATCAACTGCTTCTACTTTGCAATTTGCTTCTTCTTTCTTTCTCTATCTTAGTTATTTAGTTGAATGTGCTCTTTCTTCTTGGTCGATCTGGCACCTCATAGCAACGACGATATCGGAATCGCGACTGAGCACAAGTTGATTATAGACTCTGGATCAAAGTCACGGGAATGAATACTTCAAAAAACTGCCGATATAGACCGATTTTTACCGATTTCTCTAGTTATTCCTGCAAACCACATATATTTCTTGTCAATTTCTAACGTTTTTTATCTCTTTCTTCTGATATACGATGGTAATACTTAGTATATATCCTCAGCATTTGGTTTCCGTTGTTGCGAGACACAACGCAACGCCCGTTTCTGCACAAGTCTTAGAACGACCTAAGTATAGCCAGGAAGATTGATAGTTCCAATAGGAGCATTGAAAGGACAATGTGGCTGCAACGTATGTGCATCCTCGAAGCCAGTTATCAATTCTTCCGAAGTCTTCTCAAGTTCAGATAGCCAGTTGATTTGCTGGTCCAATGAGGATATCCCGGTTACGCCATAAAATACTTGATAGCCAACTGACACCGAATGCTCCCAATATGCAGGTGGGGTAGGTAACAGTCGATTGTGCTTCGCTGTCCAAGTCAAAGAAATTCACTCGGTCTTTTTGCACATGCTACGCTGAGGCTATCTCGCCTCACATTTAAGGCTGGGTAGTGAGCCACGTTTCTTAGGATATTCTAGCTCTCTTTCCACTCCAAGCAGACTCTTCACAGCCTGTAAAAACACCACAAAAATTGCTCCTTCGATTTAGTGACCTCAAGGGTATAGTAAAAGCAACAAACCCTTTCTCTTAAGCTACACTGACCAGCATAATAGGTCCGCGCTGTTTCCCCACATCACCAGAGATGGCCGAGCAGTCTTCGTCAGAGACACCCGTTGTCGAGGAGGTGAAATATGGTATCGGAGATAGTCTTAAGACGTTCCAACAGCTCAGCTCGTCGGGAGGAGCGGCACGAAAGAAGAGGCTGGATAATCACAAGGCAAGAATCATGGGAGCTTTGGGCGACGCAATCCAGGAGCAGTTTTCGAAAGAGGAAGGGAAGGAGAAACAAAATCATTCAGACAAGTAGTCTGTATGGTGTTGAAAGGCGTTCAGAAGATCTTTGTCGTATTTCTCTTTGTCCGCGAGCTTGCGACCCGCGATACCTCCCACGTTCTTTTCGAAAAAGAAAGGCATGACCACACCAAACTCTTCATCGTAATTCTTACAAAATAAAGGCTTGATATGGTTGCTAAAGATAGTGAACACCCCCGAGGGACTTGAGATCCCCATTGTGTACCAGAATGCACCCGATTCCCACGTACGATTCAAAATCTCCGAGAGACACAACGGTGTAGGCCCATCATCCTTCTCGCGGTGAGACAATTCCTCCTCAGTGACCAAAGCCTCCATGAATTGTCGACGGCTGAGATCGTATTCCGCAGGAACAAGCTCATCCACACCTTTGTCTGTAAGCCACAAGGGAGGCATCATCATTTCGATTGGCCGGGAGCAGGCCCATTCAAGGTCCACGACACATTTTATATGCCACTGTGCATCCACAAAGATGTTGCTTTGATGGAGGTCGGTGAAACAAAGAACAAATGGGCCTCTTCGAAAGCTCCGGTTGAAAATCGACTGAAAAACTGTTCGCATGGCAGTTAGCACGGAGAGCTGGTAAGCACAGTCTCCGAGATTGTTAACAGCATTTGGTTGTTGGCGAAATCGGTTGTCATGAGCTCCTAGCATATCAATCACGTATGAGTCAACAGTTGAGTAGGTATAATCACGGGGTATATCGGTTGATATCCCTTCATTCTCCAGCTGCTGTATTTCAATTGAAAGAGGTCGATTTGCAAGATGCAAAAACCCATAGTTGTCGATTATTAACGAGCCGATTCTGGGGAGCGGAGATCGACTGAGACTGAGAAAAATTCGAGAGAGATCACGGAAAAGGTTTGTTCGTAGCGTCTGGTCATGTCGCCCTTCCTTCCACGTGTCGGAGAGCATTACTCCTTGTGTTTCGTCGATAAATTCAACTAGAATATAGCCAATATCGGCCAGCCCGCCAATGGACATGGCGTTACTGTACTGATGACGGGTATAATTTGATGGGACAGGTTTCCCCAGCCATGATAAAAGTTTCCGGCGCATGAGCCAGAGATAGCGAGAGAATAAAGGCATACATCCTAGAAGAGTAAACTGACGACTATGAGTAGGCTTTCCTGGACACCGGGATTTATTAGCTACATACCACTTCTCCGGACGACAAAGAAAAGCCATGGAGCTGGGGTATTGGTATTTCCGAACAATTTTCTTGGAGCCAGGCATAGGTCCCCACTTCGCAGCGGATTTTCTCGTCACTATTACCAGGATTGAAGGCTTCGCCGACACGGTAAGGCAGAGGGAATCGAAGAAGAACTCGCTTGTTTTGCCGGTTGTGGATAGTTATCGGTACACAAACGTTGAAGCTACCATGAAGCCAATTTTCAATTTCCGAAACTTCGCATGCAGCGGGTGAGCTCAAGTTGAGATGGTGGGCAACGACTGCCTTCATCCAGTCGCTTTTGTCGCGAAGGTGGGCGAAAAATCGAACCTGTTGGGCATAATAATCGAGCTGGTGGAGCATGTTGAATTCATCATCTTTCACATCTGGGTACGTGACTTCTCGTCGAAGAAGACGTCTTTTCTTACGCATAGCGTCAAGTGCCATATTTCTTTGTTTACCCAGATAATTATCAGTTAGTTATTCAGGGGCTGACCGTCTTGAGATTCTGTAAGGATCGCATGGTTTCTATTGGATAGTACAAACTAGGTTAATTACTCCGTACATAGCAAGCCGATTACATAATCGCCAAGCTTCTCGCTTTCTTTTCTATGCGCATTAGTAAGCACCTGCTCGAGTGCCGCGTTCCTGCCTCAGGCTCCGAGAGTATACAACATACAACCCCTGCAAGGCTCTCGGGAGCACAGTCTTTCCAACGTAATACCACATGATACTTGACTCGAATAAGCCCACTAGATCTACTCAAATTCGGCAAAATTATCAATAGTCGGTTAGTCTGGACTAGCTGTTTACCAAGCTACTTCGAGCGATGTCAACAGTATGCCGCTAAAATCATATCGAATGGTGTCGATAGACTGACAAGCGGTAATTCAAGAACTTTTAAAGAATCCTAGCCTGGAGATTAACCACTCATATAGCATTTATGGTCGCTTTGTATACTTCAGGGCTATCTATATATAGCAGAATGGTGGCTATCGGCAACCCACATGGGCAGCTTCTTTCACTTGATATAAGTTTAAACTTGATTTTTCGAGCTCAAAGTTTGATATGGAGTACTCCGTACAGCTACAACAAAGCATGTCGATTAACCTATGGTCAAGGTTGCAGAATTTGAATGGTATGCACCGATTAGCCCCACAACGTGGCTTAGACACTGCCCAGGTGGGCTTGTCCGTATAGGATCTCCGGAGTGGAATAAGACCCTTCCTTGGCAAACGGAGAGGTGTATGAAGTATGGAGTAAGTGAAAGATTGTAAACCTTCAGAATGGGCCAGCTCAGTCAGGGATAGAGCATAGCCACGGTGCCTGCATATTGATAGAAAAATATACAAAACGCAGAACCCAAATGCACGATATTATCAGTACTATCTCGTCGGAATTTCCATTCAGGCTCTTGGCACAGTCTTGGCTGATGGCATAAACCAGGCAGCTGCTTTTACACAATCAACATTGGCGGCACTCCGCTGGTCGATACAAGGGTGGACACACTTTGGAGGTCTGTTTTCTATTTCAGAACTCTGACCATGCGCGCGGAGAATGCCGACAAAGAATATCTTCTACATGTAGAGCGAAAAACAATTACCCAGTTGCTTTGAGTGGGCTTAGCAAACAGAGTTATACCAACTTCAACAATATAAATATGTCTTGAATCCTGGCCATTGCTTTCGGTCAAAAACAACGACACAACCAAATTCCTTTCTATTATACAATCATCAACTTCAACAATCATGCATACTCAGCAGCTCCTCCCTATTTGCGGTCTCTTACTTGCCAGTGTTGCAATCGCATCCAAATTGGACCATGACGATGTCCCCAATCGCTGCTGGCCTGCCTGCAGCTCTGTCGTCGGAATTGCCAAGAGTTGTGATGCCAAACATGAACGGGATTCAGCTGAGATCCAATGCATTTGTGATTGGGATGCTGCCAAAACCGAGATTCCGCTCTGCTCCGCTTGCATCACCCAGTATCAAACCGACAGGCGCAACCATAACATAACTCACCACGACGACGACAATGATGATGACGATGACGATGATAATGACGACGATAACGGTGTGTATAATGTAAATACACCAGTAAGATACAAAATAAAGCTAATGCATTAATCAGAGGCCCTTGACCTTGTCCACTCTTGCTCGCTCACTACGACTACCTACTCTGCTGCTGCCACTACTTTGATTGGCACATCTACCAGCACAGAATCTACTAGCACTGCTACTTCAAGCACAGCAACCAGAACTGACTCTTCTAGCACCAGCGGAGGCAGCCAGGACTCTACTTCATCTGTCTCTTCCGGATCCTCTGACTCCGCCGGTGCCTCATCAGGCTCTGCATCCTCCCCTACTTCTACCCCTGATGCTGCAGCTGGTATTTTGGCTCCCGGTGCTATATCCATGTTAGGTTTCATGGGGCTGATGGCTTTTGCTTGGCTGTGAGTCAATGGATTCGAATCTCGGTCAGAGATAAGTCAGTGAAGATATACTCGATGGTTTATGAATATGTCCAATGCTTTCCTTTGAATTTTCAGATGATATCGATGATTTATGTCCGGTGTTGAGATAGTCCATAGTATACGCAATTGACAGTTTCGAGTTTTTGGAAAAGACCGAGTGAGAGAAAGTATAGCTATGATCGAGTATACTTGGTGAGAATCTGTCAGTGACTGGCTAGAATAAGCAGAAAATGGAAATAATATACAGGAACAGAACTAAAAAGCAGTCAGGTTGAACTTTGGCGCAAGTCCAGGTATTGATACATCCCAGAAGCTCTCCATCCGTTAGATAAATACAATCATATCCTATTCACAGGTGTTGTATGTGTAGGTGTCGCATGTACAGGTGTTTCCTTCACAGGCGTTGGGTGTATAGGTGTTTCACCCCTAGGTATTTCATCCATAGATATTTCGTCCATAGGTGTTTCATCGTACCAATTGCCCCAGATGCCATCATCAAAGAAATTCCCAGCCGACTCTTCATAATCCATGGCATATACATCCTTGTAACACTGAGCCTTTTCCGGACAACTGTTCACAGTCGGGTTAACATCAATTCCTTGGACATTTTTTATGCTACAACTTACAACACGGGATCCTGCCCGAAAATAATGTGCCAGATGTACTCAAAGACACGGCCACTCGTCTCGTCGTCCAACTCGGTTGTCATAAGCCAATGATGATACGACTCATAGGCGCTCCGTGGGCGTTGGAGAACCTGCTCCCTGGTCACAGCAAACTGAGCACAGCAGGGCGTAGCAACGATCTCAGGCACATCGGTGTTGTTAAAGATACGGATCCAAGCACCCGCAAAGGCAAGCTCGGTCGTGCGACCAGCCGTTTGTCGAAATGGCTGGACCTCGTCGGGACACCCGGGACTCCAGTCACAGCGTAGATTGAGATATCCAACTCGTCGGAGGTAGTCGAGTTGCAGTCTTTGGACGGTCAACACATTGTCCTGCTCCCAAAATTCGACGTGGCCGCTATATTGATGAGCGTGGAGGAAGACCATGTACTCGGGCAATTTGTCGTAGTTGTCTAAAATGTATTGCAGGTAGGCACTACTTTCTTTGCCTTTGTTTTGCTCGACTTGCAGGGATGCTTCGGGGTCATCAACGAGGTAAACTGCGTGTTGCCATCTAGAATTCAGTTAGAATTGGCACGGTTGTGATCGATTAGTGATTGGTCTATGGGGACATACTCTGGCAGCTGATCCTCGAGCCAATCAGTGTCTTCGTATGACATCTTCCCCAGAATAATGATGCGATCCGATTTCGGAGTGACCTTTGGACGAGAAGGGGCAGTAGACGAAGGTGCCATGACATCATTATGCTCTACTGGAGCGAGTAGTTGGGCATCGTCGAATCCGTTTGAATCATAGAATTCGGGTTCCTCTTCAGATCTGAACCATAGCTCCCCCGCCCATTCAGCACCGGGGACATCGACGGGGATGCGCTCCGGTTCAGGATTGGCTATCATTAGACGAGGAGTTGTTCGGGCCGTGGGTGACCATTTCCTCCGGGTTTGGGTATGTGAAGCTGGCGTCGCGGGCGTCGCAGTATGGGCCGAGACCAGCTCGATATATGCATCGCCATTTAGGACATAAAGATCGGAAGTATATTCATCATTTCGCCATTGCAGGAGGGATTCGAGGTGGGATTTGACCCAAAACAGGGTTAGAATTAGCGCAATGGCTATAGCCGCTCGTGCTAGAGTCCGCATTGTCCAGCATGCGGAGGGTTGAAGATCAGAAATCGAATGGATCGAGCAAATCGAATCGAACTCCGAGTCGAAGCGAAAAGCCCGCACTTTTAAACTGTACGTTAGTCTCCACTTCGGACGCCTTAGCCTTCAGCCCGTCAGCTTGGCCGCGTGGTTGCTACACGCAATATACGTACCCTATCTGACAGTATACTCAGGTGCCTTTCTGCCTAGAAAATATGTTCAGACTTATCTGCTTGGTTTTTGGCCACTTTTCATTTGCTTCAAGTGAAATCATCATCACTGCTCAGGTCTCAATCCGGCGAGTGCAACCTCTTTCTATGTGGGTCTGGCAGTCGTCACTCACTCGGGTCGAATATTGGATCTTGTTATCATGAAACTGTCGATCTTTTGATTTTGAATTACTTCAAGAGATGCATGTAATATGCAATATATGAAATATTTAACTACAGTACTACTTCAATATCAAAGGTTATACATAGAAAAGTCAAATCATGCCTTTTCCGCGTTTTCCGTCTACATCAGAAGACTTAAGAAAGAAGATATCTATAAAAAAGACATCTAATAGGACTATCAAAAAGACACAACAGGGCTGCTTATGCGACCGGCCATTCTATAGGTAGAAAACTCACGATATTTTGACTTGGAGCGGATCTAAGGCTGCATAATGCTGCATGCCAACGAATGGTTTAGAATGCAACATTGGAACGTTTCAAACGGCTTTACTTTTGAATATTACATAGTCCATTGTCGCTTTGCATCAGTCCCTACGATGTATGTTGTAATACCTCAGACGAGTTGGTTCTTGGCCTGATTTCTCAGGCCTCATTCCAGGGCCTAGTCTCGTTATTATTGGGCCTTTCCTGGTTTCTTCTTGAAACCGACAACCTGTCGTTTCAAGGATGTCTTTGACCGTGACTCCGGTTATCTTGGTTCAAGAATGGCTCGTACAGAAACAAACTTGACTCAGTTCAAAGATCAAGAATGGGTGTGTTAGAAGGATGTCTTATTTTCCAGGGGGAGCCTACTGTCAGCAATGACATCTGGATATTGCTTTTTCCTGGCGCAGCTGTCTGACTTTCTTTGTCTTTTTTTCTTTGATGTTCCAGACTGGTCCTATACGAGTTCCAATTCAATATCTGTGGTTAGTCTCTACCTATCGTTCTATTCCTAGGCTTGAGGATCAAGTCGGATGTCCAAGTTAGCCTCCGTTCATTCAAATTGTGTGGATATGAACCTCAGGGGCTGATTGCCTCTGTTCAAGGTCTGCCTGTTGTTAGGATTCATAGAGCTAGCCAGGAACCAGGGTTGCTTTCCCTCTTAAGTCACGAATTTCTCCTGAAGCACGCGGATGTCCTTGCGACCCGACCCGATCCTCTGTAGATCAATCCACTACCATAATTTTCCCCTTGGGTTTGGGTCGCTGATCGCAAACTCCCAGAAGGTCGTGCAGGTTCAGCAGATGTACCTGAGTGTGTGAAATATACGATCCCTCTTGTCAACCTCTCCGAACCATACGGAGGACGGAGTACCTATTACGGGAATGACAACCGGAGCGAATCAGAGCCATCCAAAGCCAAAATTCCCGTAGTCTTTTCTAGCGTCAATCTGAATTCAGCGACCATACTCCGTACGGAAGACGGGGATGTCAATTCCGAGTACGATTGTGGTAGTAACCACGAGCCGAAGAGCTCCAGCGCTCCACCCAACCGGGATCTGACACTGCCAGCAAATGTTCTAATCAGCGTCTAGCGGGTTCTAGCTCGGCCACATGAGGTCCGGAGCTCCACCAGACCGGGATCTGACACTGCCACTAAATGGTTTAACCAGCGTCTAGCGGGTTCTAGCTGAACGATATGAGCCTCTGAGGAGCTTCGACGCATGCGCTAGAAACGGGGGATGCGCGGATCGTGGGTACCGGACGAAAGTTCCAATTTCCTGGAGTGGGACACAATATACTAGCTTTCAGCTGCAGCAGCCGATGGGGGAATAAGGTGGCTTATCCGACTGGGCCGAACCATTAGGGAGAGCTGTTAAAATAACTCAGGTGGCTTGTTCATAAGGTGGCGAGTCATGGATTCGCCTTGGGTGGAAGGATGGGGCGAAATGAAATTAGGGGGGAAACTAACCTCAGGAGTAATAATAGAAAAACCCCCCTGAAGGAGATGGAACATTCAGATAATACGAAGTACGGAGTACAACGTACAGTAATTAAAAGGAAGCGGAGTCCATGATAATTACTCCATATGCAAAGTGCAAGCCGGTGTATCAAATATAGAGAATCACATATCCAACATACAGTATAGTACAGTGCACCCCCTTGCAAAAGCACGAGGCAGGGCGCGAACCCCGACTTCTATACGTCAGGCAACCCGTGGGACTGCAAATAAGCAAGAGTATGTAAGAAGCACGGAGTACTGGACTACTGGAGTATTATTCCGTACTCCGTGAAATCGAAATACTTTCCCCCAATCTGCTCAGGGATGAGAAGCTCTAAGTAGTGGTCCACCACAGCGGGGTCCTCTAAAATCGCCTAGTGACGAGCCTAACGAGGCACCGGCTCCTTGGTAAAAGGAAAGACTAAGGGGAATTCGGAATTGGGATAAGGAGCTACTCAGGTGACTGGAGCGGTTGGGGAACGACTGATCTAGGATGCTAATGATTCCAGAAGGATGTAGGAAAAGGGGATACACTAGAAATTCAAGCATGAAGCAATATCTACCACTCCGGGACTCCGTACTTAGACTTGCAATGTACGGTGTACTTGTTTATGCAGTCGAAGATTAAATGGTATAATCTCATTGGGCGAGTCCACATAAAGATCCAGGGGGGAATAAAAGTCGAAGATCTAATATAAACTAGAGAGGTGGACTATATAAAGTGACTATAAGTTGCTATAAGTATGGCATTTCCTCATCCTTTTTTCTTACTGGTTTAATATAAAACAGCTGCATATCTAACGGATCACCTGCTTTCTGCCTGAGGACTCGATCTCTCATCATCGCATCTCTTCTTCTCTCCTCTCCTCTCTCTGTGTCTGTGCCTGTGTCTTTTCTACAACTCACCTCCTTACTCCCCTCCGTTCTTGGCGGACCTGTGGACCGCTTTTCCCTCTTGAATTCCTTTCGTCTCTCTCTCTCCCCCCGCTCTCTTGTCTTTTGTTTCCTTCATCTGGGCCTTGATATTGGGAAAACTAGTTTCCAAAGGGAAATTCCCCGAACA